CTGAAACTTTTCGCGATTACAATACTTCGTTTTTACTTCGTACAGGGAAGTAAAAAGGAAGCGTTTTCGAGTAAATTTGTTTAAATTTTATAATACTAAATGCTAAAATAAACTGGTGTCTTCGATTACAGGCGAAAACGCCGAGGTCATTAAACATCGCAGAGAAAGCGAGGCGAGGAGAAAACATTATAGTCCAAAAATATGGTATGAGAAAAGAAAGCGATCAAAACCTTCTCAATGTTAAAACATCCCAGTGGAAAATATCGCGTTAAAGAAAATAAAGCAACAGAAAGTTACCGCGGGATGATAACATAGCAGACATGTGCATTCAGACTTAAAAGGATTTACATGCTGCTATATTCACATACTAATTAGTGAGAGTAAAAGAAATGAGGCATATTTTTAAAAAAGCAAGAAGGAAATTTAAGCATTCAAAAAATGTGGCTGACTAGAAAAGTAATGCTACAGTTAACAGAATTTTAAACTTACGCAGTTAACTATTTAAATATCATTATTAATTAATACCTTTTATACAATTGGATTAATAGTAATATTTTTATAATGTTGGATTACAGTGCGAAAATACATGCAAAACTTTATAAAAATTTAAAAACACAGTCCTCCGATATTATCATCATGCGATGATTTGTATGTGCTTTATTTTTTCCACTATATTTTCCACTGTGATGTTTTAAAAATACGAAGTTTTTGAGCTATATTATTTTCTAAGACGATGTTTTAGAGCTGCGACGTTTTCTCTTTGCTTTCTTTCCTTCACGAAGATGTTTTCCTATTATTTTTATTATATTATTATCCGCGATGTTTTCGGCGTATACTAGTGTCTTCATCTGTCATTACTCATTCATGACTGATAAATTTTTCTTCAAATTCTTTTGAAATTTCTCAGGTATGCCATTATTCCGAAAGTTTCCTAACTTCAAAATTTCAAAATGAATGATCATTATATTTATGAGAAAAACAGAATCATAAAAGTGAAGCCATGTAGTTAAAACTAGTATTGTTTAGACGTCAGGTCTACATACCAGAAAATTGAAGTTTTCAGTGAAGTATTAAAATTATGCAAGGTGAATTTCCTCAAATAGCGATGGTTATAGAGAAGGAGATTTAGCCGAAAGATCGAGAAATAATTTAAGTAAGTCTGATGCGAATGAGTACCATTAGCTTGTTTCAAAATGGTCGAATGGTCATTCAAAACGGTCATTCGGTCGAATGAATTGACATTATGAATCAAAAATTGCAGAAAGAATCGGAACACAGAATTTTAAGATTAAGCAACACACTGTTTACATATGTCAAAAATCTATCTTTTTAAAATGATTCATTTAAACTATCAAATGGTCTTCCTTTTGGTGAAAGAGAGCAGTGTAAAGAAATATTTTCCATCAACAACATAATCATTAGCTAATGCAGTAATCAATGCATTTTTTTAAGAAATTCAATTGCGTAAGCTTGGGAAAGTTTCATTGTACATTATATTCAAAGTTTAATTGTTCCGTGCTGATTCAAAACTTTAGGCTAGCCAGAAAAAAAATAATAATAATTGCAAAGTTTTTTTTACATCATAAACCTTGTATATTACTAGAATTTAAGATAATTCTCTGACATTGTTTTAGAGATTTAGACGTAAGAATTTTCTCAGAACGTTTAATGCTTTAATCATGATAAAAGGACTCAAATTGCCTAGAACTTCAACTGAATTAAACGTATTCGAATCCTGGTAAATGCATGGATGTTTGTAATTGTATAGTACCTGCACAGCATGGTAGCACTCCAAATACATGGCAACCCAAAAGTCCTTTCCAGTGGTTTGATGATAGGGGAAGGAACGTGGGAGACACTCGGACCCCGCGGTGCTCTCCATAAAATCTGAGACGAAACTTCTCGTGAGTGTAAAATCAGCCGCTCCTTCAGGTGCACCCTGGGCAACGTTCTTGGTAATGAGACTGCTTAATAACCTATGGGTATTGGCCATTACCGAAGAATGCATTAAAATACAAGTGTCTCGTCATTCGAAAACAAATCCAACAACAGTTCAAATAATAGTAGTACCCTTAATTATTTCCATAACTGTTAAGAAAACAAATAATGAAAACTAGATTTAATTTTTCAGGTTTCTAATTGAATTGACCTTTTAAGATATTAATCCATTCAGTGAGCAATTCTTTTTGAAATGTTTTATTTGTGTCAAGAAATGTTTTATTTGCGTCATACAGTAAATAAAGTCTTTAACCTATGGATGTAAAATACAGTATCAATTGATAAGACACATGCATTTTACAATGCAGCATATTTTTTTCTCTATATATGCTCGAGCATAGATATCAGATTCTCTTTGCCAACAGAAAAAAATATTGGGTATATTTTTAGCTCTTATTTCTTACATTTTCTCTGCGGGCTTTGGCTAGTAAGAACTCCACATGAAATTTTTTACCGGTAAGAATTCATTTTTATCAGCCTTTTTTATAAATACATTAAAAATAGCTTTTGAGAATACAAATATCGCTCTAGATGTTTTCATTGCATGGTATTCCACTTTTCAGATTCCATCTTCACATCACTTAGAAATTCAGCTTTATTATGCAACGATGCGATGGATGTTTTCAATCTCTAATCTCTGGGCAAGTATATTCAAACTTGGTTGAGAACAGTGGAGGTGGTGACGGGGGATTAGAGAAGATATCGTTGTAACGGCGAAAAGGAAGCAGAAATCGAAGATGGAAAAATTCTCCCCTATGTTTATTGAGCTGAATTCTAAAAATAGATCTGCGTTCTTTCTTTAGAAGAATCTTTTCATTGATGGAAGCATGATGAAGCTGTACAGAATTTGTACATCTTCCTACGACTTTAATCAGCCGAAATATTATTTAAAAAATCCTGAAAGCGCTGATTTTCGCACTTATTTCTTCGAGTGGCAACAGTCTCGCGCACTGGAAATAAAAACGCTTTATTTCGAAAAGTGTTGCCACTGCTCATTTTCAAATCGTAGAGTTTGCTAATAAAAAATTTGTAAGTTTTACAAAATCTGTATCTATAAAGAAAAATGCCCGTTTGTGTGTTTGTTTGTTCGCGTTATTGATTTCTGATCAATTATGATAAATTTTGTGCCACATTTAATCGACTAAAATTGAATATAGGTGAAATATTGGATGGAACTTGAGGTTTTACGACCATTGTTATGAACACAAATCTTAAAAAGCAGCATTGTTGTGATATATGAGGAATGACGATTTTTGTATCAAATTTTTTTATGGGTTCCAAATCGCATCAGACTGCAATGTAGACCATGATGTATTTGTGCACGTTATTGAGAAGGAAGAACGGTATCTCCTCGTGTTATGCAACTCTCAATTTAACTTTACTGGCATCGGGTACTTCGCTAGTATATATATAATTCTTTATTATTTATTATAAAATTATCTTCCTTATTGTAACTGTAACTTTTATAAAACACAATAACAAACAGAAAACGTTTTTGGAGATTTTGAGCTTCAAATTGATTAGTGTTTGACATATTAAATCGACAATTTATATAGGGGAGACACACGACTCATTTAACATTCTTAAACAAACAAAATAGAAAATAACGGAGTAGACATCTGCAATGTTAAACTTAATCACATGTAAAAATTTCAGCATAGATACTGATAAGAATTGAAAACAAATTTGGCAATGCATAGCAATTTCATGCTAAGTAGAAAGTAGTCTGATCTTAAATCCTTCTTAAGAAATAGAAGTTAAACTTAATTCCAAATCTGCAAGGAAATAAAGTAACTAAAATAGCACACAGCGATTTTCAGGTTACCATGACAACATGAACATTTACTTTACGTTAAGTATGCAGGAGTCAAATAATTTGATTCCAGTAAAAAGGTAAAGTAATTGGAGTCAAACTTATGTTCCAAGGAATTGCATTTATTTTGCCAACAAAATAAATGCCAACAAAATAAATGCAATTTCTTGGATTTATTTTTATTCCACATTTCATACTAAGTGAAGGTTCCAGAAGTTATGCATTTGCTTTCGGAACTTCTTATTCAAATCTGTTGTCAAAGTTCAAAATTCTGATAACTATTTGTAAACAGTAACAAACGGTGCCTATAATAAAGAATGTTACTTAGAATTCTTTTACTTTAATATTTGCATATGTTTGCAAATCCTTTTAAAAAGAACAATAAACAGAAGCTACTGCTTTCTTTTCAGAGGGAAATGCTTTTCCTATTCTTTCATATTCTGATAAGGAAAAATGCTTTTTTCTCCTCTATCTGGATTCACATAAGAAGCTCTTCTATTTCGGAATTAAAGTAAGCTTTATGTCTATGTTATGAAACCTTCATTATAATTCTAACGCTTAATAGTTTCGCTTAATAATTTGTTGAGTTACTTTAACAAATGTCAGCGTATTATCTCCGTGATTAGAACCAAATTACACAAGAAAAGGTTAAAATTCAGTGAACTTTATTTGTACCAAGGTCAATAGATATGCTGTTCTCATCTCTCGAATTTAGTAACGTCACTTGAGTTACAGAAAAGGCTGAAACGAAGGTGGTAGGGAGTCGTTGCTTTTGAGCGCACTGAGTCAGTGACATCACACAGTCAAACATTTCTGGTCAAGAAGAGCAAACTTGGTAGTACAGCAAACCTTGATATAAACAATCTTAATAATTTGCAATTAAAGAAAGCAATCACACGTTTAAAGGATAGTCGTTTACTTTCCAAGTATAACAGATAAAGCTACTTGTCTTGAAGATATAAAAAATAGCATCAAATTCCCTAAAGCAAGGCAACAGGAATTTTATCCTTAGCTAATCACAACAGAAAAGATAATCACAGAAACTATTAATCACAATAAATAAAACCACTTACGAAATTAGGATTGCAACGGGAGTAGTTAACGAACTAGGACAAGAATTGAAAGGTTTGAGGGTAATACAAACAAAATTTAACTTTTCTAATATGAAAGTAGATAAAACAAATAAAGATCTAAAAAGAAATACATAAATTTGCAATTTTAATTAGTTTCTCGGTCTCATTTTATTTACATGCTCAATCTTTCAAATTGGAGATTAATATTTTCGGGCTAGGAAACTTAAATTTTCTAACGAAAAAGTCTTGAAAATGAAGTATTCTAAGTGTCCACAAAAATGAGGACGGGCATAAAATGACCACACGATGATTAAAAAAATATAACGAGAACAAATAAAATTGAAAAATTTAAATAATAAAAATTAGGGGACAAATTAAAAAACAAATTAAAAATGGATGAAGATAGAATTATAAAATATATAAAAATAAATGAATGATTAAAAAGTGAGAATAAAAATTAACTAATTAAAAGTAAGATTCAAAATTAAGTTTTCGAAGAAATTTTAGATATTTTAAAACCATTTTCTTTAATATGATATTCACAATTTCTTTTGATATATCTGTTTTTAATATAATATCCCCATTTTTGTCAATATATTTAATTATAAAAGTTTTTGAAAATGTCCGATATTTGAAAACCTCATCCCAATCTATATCTTATTTCAAGCATTCTATGACGATACTTTCTGATAAATTTTTATATCTGTAAATCAGTGTCATATTTAATTTATCAAAGTTCTCTATGATGAAACTATTGCTCAATGTTTGATAATCTGAAATTTTCTGCCAATCTATTTTAGAAGCATCTTTAATAATAAACTTTTCAGATAACGTCTGATATCTTGATATGATATCCCAGTGAATTAAATGTTCATTATCGATGGTAAAATTTTCTGGTAATCTTTGATATTTACATATATTATGCGAATCTGCTTTATGTTTATATTCTAAAATAAAAGATTCTGGGAACACCTAATATTTTCAAATAATTGTCCACTGTAGTGCATTCTCAAAATTTCACCATCTTGTTGCTCCATTTAAATCCACCATATGGTAAGTACTGACTCATACCCCATCCACATAAATTATTAGGATTTAAATACATTAAATAAACAGATGATTTACTTTTATCCTAATTTTCCATATGTTTATTATTTGCTTTTCGCTATCTATTGCAACACTGAGTTATACCCCCTCTCGTTCTTTTTTTAACATTAAAATAATGTTATAATCACTCAATAATTCCAATTCAATATTCGTAAATTTTAGCATCGCTTTTAAGCTAACACTGGCGTTGCAAATTACGACGCGGATCTAAATCGTATGTTTTTAAGCATATATCTCTCTTAAGTATTTAAAGATATGTGTTAATACATCCGATTTTACATATAAATCCGCATATTCACTCAAGTTTTTAATCTCAATCTTATTCCATATTTTTTCCGCTCGTTTATATTCTTCGTAGGAATATTTATTTTCATTTAATATATTACCGAATATATCTTAAGCTGCTAATTTTGTTTCTTTATATTTTTCTTCAGAATTCATGTACTCGTTATAATAAATATCGTTTTTGTATAATAAGATTTAATTTCATGATCATGATATATATCTTTTTAAGTTTGATCATTAATTGCTCTAAATAGCCAGATCTTTCAAGAAAAGTGTAATTGTTCTGTAAGTGATTCATGCGTTCGGGTAAAGGGTTTCCATAAAAGGGGGAATACCATTTTTTTAAGTATTGTTTATTTGTAATAATGCAAAAAATAATATACATGGTGCAAAAAGTAATTTGCATCATGCAAAAATTTCTTTCTTTATAAATGATGAAAATTAAGAACAAAGGATTTGTGATAAGCCCGAACTAAAAGGTGGTGAATGATGATTCTTCACCACCAGGATTTGGCGATTGGGTTTCCTAAAACCCCAGTTGCCCTTTAAAAGGGGGAGTATATAAGGTATTTCTCCAGCCTTCGTGGTGTAGTGGGCTACACGCTCGGTACGTATTCGAGAGGTCCGTGGTTCGATTCCCGGGGAGGGCATTTCTCATTTTTCAAGTCTGCTGTTTCCAAAAAATCCTAATGTCTCTATAACGTGACTTATATTAGAAGACAGGAGACTGATAGTAACGAAAGAAACACGCTGTATGCCAACATAATAATGATACATATGGTTCTATTTCTTTTTTGTGTAAACTATTTGTTTTATTCGTGTGATAATAAAGTGTTCGTGCCATTAAATGTATGATGTATGAGATGCCCACATTACGTTCACGTCCACGTTAAGTAGTAAATATATATCCAGAAATCCGGCAAGAAGAATGCATTGCAGGATTACAATCCGAATTGACAAAGAAGAAAAGGTTATTAATCCTCTTATGCCAGTTCACCCTTTCAAGCTTGTGATTGTAGGAAAATACTGATCTGGAAAAATAAATGTTTTAATGAATTTACATCGGAAACTTTTAAATTACGATGCGTTATAGATATGTGCTAAAATATACAGGAAGATAAATATTAGGGTTAAACTGAAAAATTTAAAAGATTCGAAAGTTTATAAAGACATCATTTATCATGCTATGCCTCGTGTAAGAAGGAGAAACTCCTACCAGCACGTGTTGGAATTTCACCGTGGTAAGAATGGTGGCGTATCAGGACTGTGTTTTGTCGTTTTGAAGCACTGCTGCTCGGCTTGGTCGGGATCCTATGACTCTCCAGCGAAAATGGAATCATGAGTGGAGGAGAGTCACACTAAATCCCATAGAATTTAGGTGGTCCTGGGACAATAACGCTTGAGAAGACTGATACGTTACCTCCTCGGGCTTGAGGGATCGTACAGTCACGTTAAGTACCCTGAGTCAGGAACTGGGCTTGTATGCGGGATAACTAGCGTCTGCACGGACAGTGCAACGACGTCTGCAGCATCACGGACTGTCAGCAGGAAGACCACTGATGCGGCTTCCCTTGATGCTGCAGCAGAAACAGACTAGCCTACGTTGGTGCGATGAAAGATGACACTGGACATAAGAGTGGAACCCCCGCGTACGAAAAACGAAAACCCGCGTACGAAAAACCGGGATTTATCCCGGTTTTTCGTACAGCCATCATGACAGACATATTCGTGACTGGAAGGATCAAGGAGAACGAATGTTGCCAGCTTGCGTTCGTTATCGCCGTACGGGCCCAGCAGCTGGCGTGCTTGTATGGAGTGTTATTTGTATAAAATCGTCTTGTGGGAGTAACCAGTAATATCTGAATAACTGCCGTTACATTTCTGATATATAAGGCTGTACTCTACTTTAGAGTCCTGTGTGAGGCCGTCTATTAATACGATAATGCGCGACCGCATGTTGCTAGTGTTGTCCTGACTTTCCCCGATACAGAAGATTATCAACTCTTGCCCTGGCCAGCCCGTTCTATAGATCTGTCACCAACTGAGAACATCTGATCATGGACTGTTGAGAGATTACGCTACTACACGCCAGTCAATACTATGGATGAACTCTGGTATAGAGTTGAAGCTGCATGGAATGAAGCATCCGTATGTGCCACCTAAGCTCAGGTGGACTCGATAAACAGCCATTGCTGCTGCGAGAGGTAGCAAGTCTGTCCACCTTCAAATTTAATTCTGTGTTCTTCCCATTGTACTGTATATGCACAATAAATAAAATTCTGACATTTGCTTTCTTTCCAGGTGAAACAAATTTTATGGTCAGCAGTATATGTGACATGAATCAAAGGGGAGGTATGATAGTTATTAGATAAAATATAATTGTCAATAAAACTTAAAATAATTATCATGAAGTAATTAAGAAAGGACAAAAGTCTTTTCAATTGTGTTCTTTCTTTCGCCAAATAAATCTCCAATTATTTTTTTGATGAGAGGTTTTAAAAGCAATTAATTCAAGATCAAACATTGGGTCATAAATGAGATATGTTAGCTTTTAATTGTTTTAATTTACGTATGGAAGTGGAAGAACAGAAGCACGGCGGTTTTAAATGTAATATCAAGCGAAATTTTATTTTAGGTTAACATTGATTTTTATAGGCGATCCGTATGCTGTGAAATTAAGACTAAAGCAATCAGTCTTCTGCAAAGAGAAAAATATACTCTGCTCCATTTTGCCGGGATGCCGGGAATATGCGATTTAAACAGAGGAAACGAAAACAATACATAAAAGAAAAGTGAATGACTGAAACTAGCGCCATCTATTGAGCAGAACATAAACTGAAAATTAAAATATTACGAATTATAAACTAAAAATATTTAGAAAGAACTAAAATCGATTTAAAATCATTAACTAAAGTTAAGAGATTTTCATGAATGTAGATGGCATCAAGAAAATCCAATTCATTGGTTTTGGATAATTTTATTTAAACTAGAAGTTAAAAGAATGATTAAGATTTCAATAACAATTAAAGATTCAAAGCTTATTAAT